ATCACATAATATTATAAATTTATAATTATAAAATATTATTATATAATAATTAATTTTTTTTATTTAAGACACACATAATACTGTATATATTTAGTTGAGATGTTAACATTGCAAACTTAAAAAACGAGTTACGTAAAAAATAATAAATATAAGAGAGTAGCTCGGCGGCAACGGAAAGAAATCACAGCCGTTTGGCTTGGGCACCCTGCTCGACACGCGGCTAAGATTCACTGTTCCTTTAACTATGGCTCCACTAAGTGGAGAGCTGTGGTTAAGTGAGGTAAATCCTAGCAGACACCATATAGGCAGTCACTACAAAATCAACGAATCCACAGAGACCGAAACTCCGAAACACAGCAACTTCCGTTCGAAGTCACCGGAGCTCTCTCTGGTACCTACAGGTCTGAACTCCGCTGGTTTCAGTGCCATTGATTCCTCTTTAAAAACCCTCTCTTTGTTACTCCTTCTCGAACTTAATCGATAGACTGCAAGAATCCTTCTTTTTTCCTCTTTGAGATTTTTGTTTTTGATATAACATTCCCGGAGTTCTCTCCTGTTCGCTGTTTAAACCCTCGTCTTTGGAAAACTAGGGTTTCAGATACTTGAACTCCTCGATCAGGATTCCATTAGCAATGAGGGGTTGTTTGGTTTTTGAAGGATATGTTCTCTGTTGCATGCTCTTTTAATGAACTAGGCAATAATAGCCACGCCTTACCCAGGAGCAGTTCAGGTGATCCGAGAACCAATCTCGATGATAATAGGCATCAACTTTAATCTTCACATTGGTGTAATACAATACATGTTGGTTTAATTTTTGGTGCTAATGGTCTTTCTGGGGTGGATGTTATTTCAGGTTGGCTCATACTTTGTGGTGCAGTACTGCCAAGTTCTTCAGCAACAACCGGCACTTCATTCACCAGTTCTACTCTGAGAATAGCACCATGGTTCGAGTTGATGGGAAGTCGAGCTGGTCTGGTTCTGCAATTCAGTTAATATACATTTCTTGGTATTAAGTATCTTATTCTGTTTTTTTTTTTTTTTTTTTTTAATTTTCAATGGTCAAGAATGAATATCACCAAAAGATTTCCTCTTTTTCATTATATTACCGAATTTCCTTTGATTTTGCGTTTGGGTGTAGTGGCTTTTATTTCCTTTTTTTGCCCATATGTTATTACAACTCTGTTTTACTATATTCTTGTGATTCTTATCTTGCTACAAATTTTGGCCTGTGTAAGCAAACTGTATGATTCTGGAGAATGTGTATGATCTGGGTACGGGTACTCAAGCTAGCGCCTGATTTTATCTAATTGGCAATATAGTAACATTTACTCCTGTTTTTTTAAGTTCCACAAGCACTGCTGGATATGCTGTGTTGCAGTAAGGTTCTTTTTGAGTTGTGGCTAAACGAGATCCCACATTGGAAAAATATATAAAAAAAAAGGGAGTAATTTAAATATGTTAAGATCCTAAAAATACTTACATAATTAGTTTTTTTGTTTCAAGATTATGTCAAAATATGTAATAGGTCATTGAATGTCATCATGCTAGGCCATCTGCTGGATATACTCTGCTTTCCTGTGGTATATATGTAAGGTTTTGGAGATTAACAACATAAAGATCCTGCTTTCTGCTAAAAACAATCTATTTTCTTATTTGTATTTGCAAAAATATAGTTGTCCATTTCCTGTTCTGCAAGAGAGCACTGATTATGTACCATTGGACTCACAAATGAGGGAAATAAGTTTGAATAGTAATATCATTCTAAAGTCTAAGTGTCTCCTTTACAAAAGCACTTAAAAGAAGTTGGGTTTTTCCTCTGCCCCATACAGATGTGTCCTGCTTTTAAGGGCTTCCTGAATCTAGTCTTTTTTACATAGCTTGTGTTGCTTTAAGAAAATGTGTTTTTTTCCCTGTAAGGGATTCCTGCACCAAATATCTAATTTCAGTTTTGTTCGGAATGAATGTCTCAGCTTAAGAGAAAAAGGGGATGTGAGTCCACTTATTTTGTCATTCTCTCTTTTATTTTGAGCTGAACCGGAGTGTGATTTTGTGCAGACTATTCCCCAACAAAGCTATGCGCAACCAGCTGCTACCCCAACATTAACTCCGGCTCACCAACCTGCATCTGTTACTCAGCCATATTACGGAACTTCTACCGAGGTTGCA